GGGAGGGCAAGCTGAAGGGGGGAGCCCTGGGCAAGAAGCCGAAGGAGCAGCGCTCGCTTCGCCTCAGCATCAACGCGCGGGAGCGACGGAGGATGCACGATCTGAACGACGCCCTGGACGGGCTCCGCTCTGTCATCCCTTACGCCCACAGCCCTTCGGTTCGGAAACTCTCCAAAATCGCCACCCTGCTCCTGGCCAAGAACTACATCCTCATGCAGGCGCAGGCTCTGGAGGAGATGCGGCGGCTGGTGGGTTTTCTGAAACAAGGCCAGGCGCTGGGGGGCCCAGCGCCCCGCTGCCCACCACCCTCAACCCCTTCGGACACTCGGCCGTCTACCCCTTCGGCAGCACGGCCTTGCCCGGCTGCCCCGAGAAATGCACTGCCTTCACAGGAGCCACCCCTGCCCTCTGCAAACACTGTAATGACAAGCCTTGACTTCAGCCTTCTTCGGGCTTTTGGGGGTTTATTTTATTTTATATTTTATTATTTTTTAATGTGCACTTTTCTTTCCGCTACCATCAGCGCTGGCTTCCTATCATCAGTTAAGTCTGAGTTTTCTTTTTGTTTGCTTCTCTTAAATACTTCCCCCTTCTCCCCACGCCCCATTTGGAAATATTTGGCAGTTTACCTGGACCCCAAAAACACCCACTTTCAACTTTGTTTAGTTACCTCCCCACCACCACCACCACGTGCAACTTCATCTGTAGAGTTATTTCCTTCCCAGCCTGTTAGTGGACCGTGAGCGTAAAGTTGCTTTTCCACTTGCTCTGATCTACAAAGTTTTTCAGCAGTTTTTAAGCTATAGAAAAACAAGGGAGGGAGAGAGATCTAGAAAAGGAAACCTCAGTGAGTTTTCTTTGGTGTGATCAACCTGGGTTAAAAATAGCTTAAAAGGAAGGGAGTTAAAGCAAAATCCAGCTGTGAAACTATGCAGTGTTTCAGAATCATGAGGGGGGTGTCCTATGTAGCCAGGTGGGGTTGGATTGTACCCACAAATCCAAAAGAAATTGTCATTTGATCAGCTCATGGGAGAGGGAAGTTTGGAGCTCTTGATAAAAAAAAATAGATGTTTCCAAATAAGATGTTTTTTTTTCTTTTTTCCTCTTACAAAAAAAAGGGGGGAGGGAAAAAATTAACCCATTCTTGAACTGAGAAGAACCTATGATTGTATGCTCATGCTTGCTTTTTTGCCTGTTTCTCAGCTTGGTTAAGTTTTCCAGATTTTCCAAAGTCATTGCTCATCATGATGAACAAAGCAAAAGGTCACTTAACATATTTATATGTATTTATAATAAATAAAAGACATGAATAATCACTTTTCTCTGTCCTACATGTCTCTAAAACCAGCTGGAAGTCAAAGCAAAACCCCTGCTGAAGTAAGGTAAAGCGGAGACGGACAAGGCAGCCCTTTGTGGAGGAGCAGCTTTTTGAAGTTAGGTGAATGATTGGAATAGTTGGAAAAAGCTTGTGGACATTCAGCTCCTTATCAGCAGGGATTTGGTTTTTCTCCAGTTCCTCATAGGTTGTGAGCACACAAAAAATGTTGTTTATGCCCAACATTTAGAGTTAAGTAGGTAGAGATTTAGCTTGTGTATTTTGACGCTGGAGAATGCTGTGCCCTGGAAGTGATGTTTAAAAGGGGTTATTTTAGCATCGAGCTTAGGTCAGAGGACACCCATGTAAAACACGGCAGGGAAGGAAATCGCTTAAAGACTCTGCTTATCCCTTTGGCTTGGTTTTCTGTTTATATTTACAGTTTGATCCTAGACCTACATGTGGGGTTTGGGCCACTTCATATCATGACTAAACTCATAATCTCTTGCCAAGTATTGACTGTGTTAGTACGAGTTACAAAGTGAGTCCCTCGCTGGCTAAATTTTTTGATGTTGCTTGTGTTGGTTTACTTTGGTTTTCTGGTTTATGATGTTTAACGCTTTGGTGCCTTGTATGCTTCACTAGTCATTATATAATAATAATAATAATAATGAATAACAATAATTGAAGTGCATTCAGTGATTTCTCTTCAGATTGGAATACCCACCCAATGTCAGAGCAACCACATAAACTGGTACAGTCACAGCCTGAGGGGCTGGAGCTGTCCGTGGTCATTTGTGTTAGGAGTGGGCTGTAACTATTTAGGGTTATTAAACCAATTTCCATGCCTGTCGCTAGTGTTATGTTAATTTGAAAAGGACTGCCATCCCTCTAAAGCCTCTTGTCTATGGCACTTAATTTTCATTAATATATTTCCAAAAGACTTTTTGTGTTTGGAAAACGAAGTGTGTGATTAAGCCTCATTCATAAAGACGTATGTTTAAAACTGGTTCCTGCTCATTTCCATTTTTATATCTTAATTTCTTCTTTTTTTTTTACAGAATAGAACACTTTATCTGTTGTACCTTTTTCCATAAAATAAAATACTGAAAATATTTTACACATCTGATGAAGTGAAAGCTGACCGAAACCACTACTGAAGCAAAAATGACTGGAAACTGCAAATCAGCAAAGGTCATTTAAAATTTTGCAGACTGAGTTGTCGCTAGGTAATATTTTGAAAAAAAAAGGTCAGTTTAATGGAGAATCATGATTTCTAGGTAAATGTGAGTTTGGTTAAAAACTTAAACTAAAACCAATGGAATTTATAATTGCTTATTTCCCAAATAATTATGGCAAAAAAAGTGGCTCACATTTCGGAGTCTAAAAAAGTCTTCATAGTCTTACAGACAAGCTATTTTTGGAACAGTGGTTTTTAGTACAGTGATTTATTTAATTCTTTTCCTCTAATTTATGTGAATAAAAAAAGCTTTCTCATTTTACCATCTCTACCTAGAATCCTAAAAATCCACCTTCTGAGAGTCCTTGAAATATTCAGAAGGCTCTTTGAGAGCCCACTTTGAATTAAAATGATCTCAGGAGGCGAAACGTGGAATTTCAAATACAGAAGATAAAACCTGCATTAAAGAAAATTTTGATGGAAAAAAATAGCAAGCTTGGGTATGTAAGCACTGTTAAAAGGCTAGCTATTAAAAAGAGAAATGTAGAAATTATCAAAGCAATACTAGAGAAACTTGTAAGTCATTATTAAAATTGACCTTAAAGTACAGTTCTTTTAATTCAAAAGTAAAAAGAAGTCCAGTCATAACTTTTCCTGCAACAAACAAATTAATTTTAAACTCAAAGGAAGTTGACTAACTTCTCAGTTAATCTGAACCTTCAGTCCTGTGAGTTGCTTCTACCCACCACAGACTTGTAGGATTTTAACTCTTCTCCTGCAGAGTTGAAACCCATAAGGAGCCCTTCGCGTTTCCCGTTGACAGGAAGGCATCTGTTTCAGTGTGATTTACACTTTGTGCTGAGCTGCTGCTAAAACCCCTGCCAAGTGAATGCCTAATACTGCTGGAAAGATGATTTTGTTGGGAGGGGATAAACTAGTGTCTGATTATTGCATTTATGTGTGTGAAGCATCCATGCTAACCTTGCAAATGTGCATGGTTATCCTGGGGATGAGATCCTGTAACTTTGTTTGTCATTTGTTTTTTCCCTTCTCTGGCATATGAAAAAAAAACCCCACCAATCTTATTTTGTGTACCAATGTAAGGTTTTAAGTGTCTCCTTTCCAGTTGGTGTTTCAGAGAATATGAAGGGAGGACTTTAAAATGCTGAAGATCTCATTTTTTTCTGCTCAAATGTTCTTGTGATGATACCCGCTTTCTTTCCAAGAAGGATTTATGGTGTATGCTCAGATGGAACTGAAATACAGATCATGTGTTCTAATGTACTTGTTATCCTGGTATGTTCATACTTTGAAGAAAACATAATGCCAACTTTTAATTAAAGATAATATATTGTTTTCTAACCTCATTTAGTTTTTCTTTGAACTTCAAGAATGATCAGCATGAGGCGTCATTAGGAAGAGATGCCAAGAGGAGATGCTGCTTCACTGTCTGGTGCTTTTCTAAGCTGTGTAATTCTAGTCACTAACCAAATCTAAGGTTCTACTGACCAGTATCACCTTACTAATAAGGAGTTAGAAACTGCTATAGATTTGCACTGCATCAGTCAAGGTTTAATATTAGTAATCTTGAGTTTGCAAGGTAAAAATATTGTTTAACCAAATACAGGGAAGCAACATGTTTGAAGATGGAGTGCCTGGAAGGCAGCTGTTTACTTCAGATACCATCAAAACGTTGAATCAGTTGGAGTTCCTAGAAAGGAACCATGAGAATTATGTAGTTTTCCTTGTTCTTTAATCCATATAGCTGATTTTTGGACATGCTGTCACAATATCTCATTCTTACTGTATTGCCGAGCTTGTTTCCAAGACTTTAGGATACGATTGGTCATTGTTCTCAGATAATTTGGGGGGATTATTCCTTACATATATATTTCTATAATTTCCATTCTAAAATAGTCGTTGACATTTTACAAGGATGAAATGAACAGAGGGTCCCATCCTGCTGCTAATTGGCAACATTTCTGGTGATATTACTGACAGCAGGATGGGGCCTGATGCTCCAGAGCACAGCGCTGGTTTCCAAAAACCAACGTAATGCTGCTTTCTTTAAGAGGCTTCAGAGGACCAGAAAAATCTGTACAAGCTTTATCCCGTTACTGTATTAGCCTTGTAGTGTAACTGTAGAGCGTGGGGCACGGTGGATAAAGACCTCGCTTAAAAGCTTTCACGCTTCTTCAGACCAAACCTGCTTATTGCCGGCTCAGCAGCAAGAGAGTCACAGTGCGCGTCCTGCAAGGCTGAGTTCTCACGTATGGCAGGTTTCTAGCCAAGTTTTCCAAAACTTTGATTATTTAGCTTGGAATTTAGGAGAACAAAACCAAACATTCCACATTGCATATGTGCAAACAAGTGTATTTCCTGGACACGCTTCGGAAAATGAGAGATCAGACTTTGCAGTGCTACTGGAATTTATTTTTACCTATGTTTGTTGTCTGCCGTGTGAATTATCAGCAAGAGAAATCGTTGCTGTGATCTCAAAGAGGTGAAAATACTTGTAGAGAATCCTAGAATACACCAAACAATAGTTTTTAATTTTCAAAACTGCTTTTACTCTCTGTTATCTGTCATTTGATAGAGTTTTGATTAGTATTGCACAATAGAGAAGTTGGGGTTTCCTGTTTTCGCTAATCCTGATTAAGGCTAGAAAAGACTCTTGATTACAGTAATTTTAATAATGTAAATTTGTTTCTGATATGTCTTTAGTCTTTAATCCCCTTTAGCATTCCGTTCAAAGGGAAATGAAAAATTCAGGGATTTATAACATTAAAATCAGTCATTCCATGAATGCTTCTCAGGCAGTTCTCCTACCTGAAATAATAAATACCTAATGGGTATAAAACAAAATATTTTGCTATCAAATTAGAAATATGTTTGCATGGTTTTTATAGAAAAATAGCTTAATGTCAGGCGTTTTCTCTTT